AAGGAATTTTAAAATTTTTAATATATAAATTAATTAAAATGATGTGGACTAGTTATTTTCCACGTAATTAAAGATTTCAAACAAGAATTGATTTTATGGCAACTTAACGTGACATTTGGCACTTTCGTCGACGGAAGGACGAAATTGGTCCCAAAAATTGAAGTTCAAGGATTTTTTTAGTACTTTTTGAAGTTCAAGGGTAGTTTTAGTTCAAAAATGAAAGTTGAGGGACTGAATTGGGGATATAACCTAACTCAAATCGAAAGCCAAAAGAAAAGAAAAGAAAAGGGGAAAGAGAAAAAGATGAAGCAAAGGAAGAGGATATACGGAGATAGATGAAAGAAAAAGAAAGGTACCTACTGGATGGAAGAAAAAGGCAAAAACCTTCCTTAAGCCCCTAAACTTACCCCAAAATAGCATTTAATCCCTTAAATTAAAAATGAAGCAAATAAGCCCTCCAACTTTATAAATGATGTAAATAAGCCATTTTCACAAATGGGCCAAACGGTGAGATTCACAGTGGACCAACTCCATTTCTTTTTTGCACTTCCACTAATCCACATAGGCACATATATGCTGACATGGCACCATCCATATATAAAGGGATTTTTGGGCGATAAAGATCTTGGCAAAATCCTAAAAAAGCTAAATAAAAAAAAGAAAAAAAAATATAAAGAAATTGAAAGGCCATTAAAAGTTGTAGTTTAAAGGTCTAAAAAATCTTGAATCTCAATAATCTCGAGTTTGATTTCATCCTATAGGTAAATCCATTTACTGTTATTTGATGTGGAATAAACATGGGGCTTGTAGTGTTTTTCTTCATTTTGTTTTATTATTTACCAGTCTATAATAAACAAATAAAAAATTGTAATTTCGGGTTTATTAGGTATATTAAAATCACTAGTTACTTGATTGTCATTAGGGTTCTTGTAAACGAGGTGTAATATTTAAATTGTGGGAATAAATTCATAGATTAGTTGTTACTTAAAATACATACTTAACATCCCTAATTACTCAATTACTTACTATGGTTGTCAAATAATCTGCTTTGATTTTGACATTTTGAGCAACAAACCTATGGGTGAAGATGCAACTTTTACCATATGCATACATTATGATGGTCATTTAGTGCTCACAAGTCACGTTACATTGGGGGGGAAACTTATGATTTACCAGTCTATGATGTGGATATGCTGTGTTATTGGGATATTAAGGACAACATTACAAGGTTGGGTTTTAGATTATTCAAGGGATTGTATTACAAAGTTCCACATTTGTCTATGGTACATGGGTTGCATGCTCTTTGTGGTGATGTTGAAGTGATTGAGGTTGCTAAGATTTTAATACAATCGACTAAATGTCATGTTTATGTTGAACATGGTCAACTTAATGTTGATGAATAAGTTGCTATTAGAGTAGAAAAGTTGCTATTACATCCAGAGGTATTGGGAAGTGATGCTAATGATGATGAGTTATTAGTTGGGAATAATAAAGCGACAAATTTGATGGGTGACATGGATAGCACTGATACTTTAAGCCATGGTAGGAAAACAAATGATAAAGGGAAAGAAAAGGCGACTAAGGCGTGCTAGCAACGAAAAAGTGAGAGGAATGTAGGTGTTATGGCATCATCAAGCTCAAAAGGAATTATAATTAAAGAACTTGTCACTGATTTTGAAGGCTCTTGACTAGTGGACAACTAAGACATTGAATATAGTGATATAGAGTACGGTAGCAATAGTACTTATATTGACAGTGATGATGTTGGAAGCTATTACAGTGATAGTTTCATAGAAGACCTGAATGTGAAGGATAATGCATTGAGAAGGGTGAGTAGTTCCTTGCATTATGATTGTAACTTTGAGGTAGGAATGGCATTTGATAATGCAATTCTTAGTTGATGCCTTACAAACAATAGTTATCAACTCCCCTAGAATGAGCAGTAGGCAACTTGTTGACCATGTCAAGGCAGAATTGAATGTTGAAGTTTCAAAATATAACTGTTAGAGGGCTAAAAGGATAATTAAGAATGAGCTAGAAGGTAGTTACATTAAGCAATACAAGTATCTTAGAGGGTATGGGGAGCATATGCTAGCTACCAATCCCGGCTTAAGTTGTATTATTGCAACAAAGGAAGCAACACCCTACCAATTTAAAAGGATGTACTTTTGCTTTAATGGATGCAAGAGGGGTTGGAAAGTTGGTTGTAGGCGCATTATTGGTTTAGATGGTAGTTTCTTGAAAGGGGTTTGCAAAGGCATTTTGTTGTCAGCTATTTGGAGAGATGGGAACAATCAAATGTTTCCAGTGGCATGGGCAATTATAGATACTGAAGATAAGGACAACTAGAAATGGTTCATGGAATTGTTGAATATTGACCTTGAGTGTGGAGATGGAATAGGAATGACTTTTATAAGTGATATGAATAGGGTAAAAATAAATTTATTCCTTTTTGAACTTTTTTTGTTTTGTTTTTATATACTAGCTTCCTTTTTGACTTGCTATTTCACTATCATGCATTTAATTTTACATGTTTTTCCTTTAGTTATTTCAATTAGTGCTTTTCACTTGTACAAATTATGCTAAATGTGCATCTTTTTTTTTTCTTGTGTGGGTGTTAATGACTTTAATTTATATATTATTTTATTCCTTGTTAAACTTATATTTGTTTCGGATTACATTATTTTATTTTATTTTTTTGTTAATGCCTTTGTTTACGGGACATGTAATGCCTTTATTTTTATTTTATTTTATTTGTAGGGCATTTTATCTGCAAGGGAGGAGGTGTTTCTAAGGGCAAAGCATAGGTACTGTAATAGGCATATATATGCTAATTGGGCAAAGGATTATAGGGGAGAAGAATACAAAAAGAAATTCTGGATCATTGCAAGATCTAGTTGGCCAGCAGAAATTGATCATAATATGAATAAGCTTAAGAAATTAAATGAGCAGCCTAGAGAGATTTGCAAAGGATACCTCATGAGTATTGGTGTAGGGCATTTTTCACTTAAAATGCTTATTGTGATGTTGTAGACAACAACATATGTGAGTCCTTTAATTTTTGAATTAGGGATGCAAGGTATAAGGCTATTATTAGTTTAGCTAATACTTTGAGGGAGCAAGTCATGGAAATGATTGCTAACAAGAGAGAATCCATGAGAGGTTGGAATGGAGACATTGCCCTGAGGGCTAGGGATAAGTTGAAGAAAATAAGAATGAGTCATTGCAAAGTAGGTTGCTTTGGGATGGAACAACTAGTTTTGAAGTCAAATATAGAAATGATAGACATGTTGTTGATCTTCAAAGAAGGACATGCACTTGTAGAGCTTGGCAGATGAATGGAATTCCACGCCCACATGCCATATGTTGCATGTATCATGAAAAGTTAGCTCTTGAGGACTATGTAGTTAATTGGTACAAAAAGGAAAAGTATGCATTGTCATATGGATTCCTTCTTAAGCCAATGTGTGGTGACAAGTCTTGGATGAAATTCCATGGAGAACCTGTTAATCCTCTACCAATTAGAAAGAGACCAAGGAGACCTAAGAAAAATAGGAGGAAGTCAAAAGATGAGCCTAAGAAAATATCCAAGGTAGTTAAAATCTCAAGGAAAGGAAGGATAATGACATGTTCCCACTACAAACAAGAAGGACACAATAGGGTAGGATGTCCATTTATTTCAAATAATGAGGTATAGTTTTAATGGATGTCCTTTTAACTAATGAGGTATGGTTTCCTGTGAACAACAATTGATTCCATTTTATTAGGAAATAGACCAATACAACTGGTGCATCATCATCTCATGGTAAAAAGAGAAGGCCTTCCGTTACATATCACAGAAAAGTTAAAATCGTAAGTACTTTTAAATATATAAAGTCAAATTTATTTATAACTATCATTTAATTAGATAAGTAAATTAGGTTAAAGCTTCAAGAAACATAGCAGAGGCTCCAACATCAATTAATCCTTCACAGACATCAATTAACAATTCAAATGTAAGTTGCATTTTGAATGACAGGCCTTTTAAATTGCAGTTATATTGAATCTGATGGATAATATTAAATTGTGTATTTGCAGGTTGTTTCCTATGGTTTTTCATCTTCTTCAACACAGCAACCTTCTATTGTAAAAGACAAGGGAAAAGCAAAGGTGACTATCAATAGAAAACAAAAAGTCACAAAAGGAAAGGAATTAGGCATAGGGATTAAAGTGAATGAGTACACGAGTGTAATGACATGGAATGTAAGTAAGATATTAGTTTATTTACTTAAAAAATTATATTTAAGTATTAGACTTTATTGGTTGAATTAGACTTCATTGGTTTAATCAAAATTTATTGTTTATAGCCTAGGTGGCCTTCTAAGTATGCCATTAGAAAAGGCACTACTGCAACAACCATGCCAACTTTCTATCAACAAATAAGTAAGGTTAAATCCCCGATTCAGTCCCTCAACTTTCATTTTTGGACTAAAACTACCTTCAAACTTCAAAAAGTACTAAAAATATCCTTAAACTTTAATTTTTAGAACCAATTTTGTCCTTCCGTCAGTTAAGTGCTGACATGGCAAAATTTCCTGTTAACAAATTCAATTTTTATTACTATTAAATATTACCTGGAAATAAAATGAGTGATGTGGCATTTTTAATTATAAAAATATGGTGACTTGGCATAAAAATATAATTTAATAAATAAAAATTTCTTTTTTTTTCTTTTTTTTCTTTCCTTTCCTTTTTTTTTCTCCTTCCCCTCCCCTACTGGGTTTGAGGAACCCAGCACCAATGCCTGGGTTCCTCGAACCCAGGCGCGGGTCGAGGCACCAGGCGTGCTGGGTTCGAGGAACCCAAGACGCCTAGGTTCGATGGAACCCAGCACGCCTAGGTTCGATGGAACCCACCATGCCTGGGTTTGTTCGAACCCAGCACGCCTGGGTTCGATCGAACCCAGGCGCGGGTTCCTCAAACCCAGGCGTTGGGTTCCGAACCCAGCGCCTGGGTTTTTTTGTTATGTTTCTTTGTTGGCTTGCAGTCATGCTTAAATGGGATTTAGAGTTTTGTGTGGCTTCTGATTGCTTGAATTTTTAGATATAGTTACTGTTGATGTTGATTGAAGGAATGTTGTGTTTTTTCCATTTTTCTTTGCAAATTTGGTATACATTTGTAGAGGAATTGATTTTTTAAATCAGATCTATTGTGCGAGGAACCAGATTTGAGTTCTATTAGGGAAGAGGTTTGGGGAAGAAGTAGATGGTGATTGGAGTGGTAATAGATGATCGGAGCAATGAGGGATGACCGGAGTAATGAGGGATGATCGGTGTTGATTGGGTTGCAAGATGAGGAGACATCTGAGGATAGAGAGAGACGAGTGGTGATGGAAGATGAAGATGGGGGTATTTAAGGAATTTTAAATTTTTTAATATATAAATTAATTAAAATGATGTGGACTAGTTATTTTCCACGTAATTAAAGATTTCAAACAAGAATTGATTTTGTGGCAACTTAATGTGCCATTTGGCACTTCCGTCGACAGAAGGACGAAATTGGTCCCAAAAATTGAAGTTCAAGGATTTTTTTAGTACTTTTTGAAGTTTGAGGGTAGTTTTAGTTCAAAAATGAAAGTTGAGGGACTGAATCGGGGATATAACCAATAAGTAATGCTCAGTAAGCCAACAATTCTACTGCATCTTTGGACCAAAGAAACTTATTTGTTATGCCTTTTCAACAAAGAAGTTGTACTCAACAAACCAATTGTGATGTTGCATCATTAGACTGGGGAAGCATATTTGTTGTGCCTCCATCTGGATATGACATGAGTCTTAACAATGAAGACAACTATTGGGTTGGGTTTTGAAATAGATAAATATGCCTTTTGTCTTTTGTGAAACTTATCTATGTTTGAAATTTTAGTATCTTGATGTGGATTAACTTGTCTTTATATGTGGACATATTCAGATGACTACATGTTATTTAGCTAGTTGGTTGATGGGAAATTGAAAGTGGCCTGTTGATGCTGGACAATTTGTTGATGGTCATAGGTTTTTTATTTAAATGGTAATTCATGTTGAAGTAGGCGTTGTAAAAAAAAAAAGTATTCATTTGATTTTTTGAGGAATTTTAAGGTTGCTTGTTTAGGGACCTGGACAGATTTCACTCAAATAAAAAAGAAGATAGGAACTTGGATATATTTGTATATGTATATAAAGAAAAAGAGAACACAACCTGGATGGCTCAAATAAAAAGGAAGACAGGAAATTGGATACATTTGTATATGTATACATAAGAAGAGAATAGAACTTAGATGGATTTTGGTCAAATAAAAACAAGACAAAAAATTTGGAGTTTGAACCAAAAATAAAAAGACCAGAACCTGGAGTTCAATTATAAAATAATTACATCTGCTTTTCATTGTCAAAAGCTGAAAAAATTACATACATTGTTCATGATTCATACATAGCAAAAGAAGATAAAGAATTCAGAGTTTGAAATTCATGGCATTTTCTAACATCCATAATATAACTCTACCAAATGCTATAAACTAAATTCTGAATTTACAAGCACAACCACAATTGAGAAATTGATTAGCAACTTTCCAACTTCATTCTTCCCTTCGAACCTTACACGATCCATTAGCTTCTCAATAGCTTTCTTAACATCAATAAATTTATCTCTTTCAAGTTCCTCCACTTCCTTATTCAAACACTCAACTTTCAGTTGTAAATTCCAAATTACATCATGTGCTTTTCCAACTATTTATCCATCATTCCAGTCAAAGGCATTATATTTGCTTTTTTTCTGAAAAAGAAAAAATAGAGTAGGAAAATATCAATAAATGATAAATTCGGAAAAAAGAAAATAAAATCAACACCATTTAACATATCAAATTTAAGGAAACTAACCCCATAACACTAGCACCCGTGGAAACTAACATATCCTCCCTGCCTTTGCTTCAATCAATTTAAAGCAAGAAAATACCAATTTAAAATAGTTTAAAACACGATCCCCTAAAGTCACCTCTCATAACCTCCGATCTTGATCCCACCTCTGGCTTCAGCTGCGCCTTCACCTTTGCCTCTACCTCCACCTCCACCTCCACCTCCACCTCCATCCACCTCCATCCACCTCCACCTTCTCCTCCATCTTCGCCTTCACACTAGATGAACACACCGATAAGGTTTGCAGTTGGCTTGGAATCTAGCCACCAACATCAATGCCTTGGAGCAAAACTTGTCCGCGCGATACATGGAGCAAAAACACTATGTTAATTTCAATTTCTAACAAAAGAGGTGGAGGATTTTTGTAGAAGAGGGGCACAAATGAGGCCGAAGCCCTAAGCAGGGCTTAAATAGAAAATTTTTTGATTTTTTTTTTTTAAATTGCACATGATTTAGCTTCTTCTTTTTTTATCCACCTCAACATATATGTGTACATAGAAGGTGCCACATCAGCATATATATATGTCTACGTAAATTAGTGGAAGTGCAAAAAAAGAAACGGAGTTAGTCCACCGTGAATCTCACTGTTTGGCTCGTTTGTGCGAAGGGCTTATTTGCATCATTTGTAGAGCTGAGGGCTTATTTACTTCATTTTTAATTCAGAAGCTTAAATGCTATTTTGAGGTAATTTTGATGGCTTAAAAAGGGTTTTTACCGAAGAAAAATCGTGCCCCAAGAGCAGGTACTCGAAAGGAACGGATGCAAAGGACATTGACTTTAATTTAATAATTAATTAATCTCACAAATTATATTTTAAAACACTAAGTTATTCAAAATATGAAATATAATGTGTAAACCATCGATCTATGTAGTATACTAATAGAATTACTCATATTTTTAAATATAAATTTAGGGTTCGATCTTTAATTTTTATTTATCAAAAGAAAAAAAACATGTATATGGTATGTGAAACCAATAAATGCATATGTATATTTTTATAGTATATAGTGTATAAATTATTCAAGAATAAGATCATCATAGATTAGAATACCAAGTAAAATCTACAAAATTCATAATACAAATATATATCATTATTATTGAGATTTACACATTCCTTTCTCTATTCAATTTTTTATATAGTGACAATTAATGAAGTATACTACTTTCTAATTTTACCATTTATAAAATTAAGATTTTCTAAAGAGTGATGATATAAGAATAATTTTTTTATATTATTTTTTTATATAATTTTTTTATATCATTAAATATATTGATGTGTTCAATATTACAGGTCTTAAATAAGTAAAAAAATTTAATTATTTAAATGGCATATAAAATTATAAAAAAAATATGGTATAAAAAAATTATCCATATATCATTTTTTTTTTTGAATTAAAAAAGAAATCTAGTCTATTACAATATTCTTTTGGACTCTCTCATTAAATTTTTAGGTCTTACACTTATTTATATCGCATTATATAAAATTAAGATAAAATTTAGACTCATTTAGATTGCATAATTTTTTAGAATTTATCAATTTTTCATTTGACCAATTTTACAAATAGAAAAATTATTAGCAACAGTTCACATGAAATTTCCAACTCAGGCTTCTAGAGAACTGAAAGCAATACTTTAATTTGTTTGATACATGCAGAAAAGAATTAACTGCTGATTCTTCTCTCTCTTTTTTTTAATGGATAGACTAATTGGTTAAAATTCACGTTGGAGAGAGAGAGAGAGAGGTGAAGAATGAGAATGAGAATTTGAATCATGATTACGTAGGTGGGAAAACGCCTTTTCACCATTAATTTGTCAATTACTCTATAGGCCTTTCTCAATGACTGATTCTTTATTTTTATTTTTATTTCCTTTTAAATAAAAGTAATGATTAAAAAATTAATTTTTAATTAATTATTAATAACTGAAAATTCAATTCTTAGATGGAGTGAACATTTTACCCCTTAAATAAGACGAGTGAACATTTTACCCCTTAAATAAGACGCGCGACTATTAAGCCGCTTTGGTGGAGTTCGACTGATTCTCTACTTTATGCATGAAAGAAAATCAAGATTTAACCCTCACATTAATTTGTCTTGTCTTTTAAATATCTCCCATTCTTTTGGCGTTGCAGGTGTAGTCTCTGCAAGAGTTACTTCATATATTTTGAATGCCCCTGCCAAGTGCCAATCCTCTTTTGACATCTATAAAGATTCTTCCTAATGTTTTGAAAGCTCTAATTTACTTAATTGATTAGACTTGTTGAGCAATATCTTTACAAGCTATTCCAAGCTAGTGTCAGGTCTTCTATTGTTTCTTTTTCTGTTCAACAATAACCAAGGAATGTTTGATAAACTCCTTTAGTTATTAACAAATCTATAGTTATTTATCAAAAAGAAAAAAATTTGTCTCT